TTTCTGTTGCTTGTGTATTGATTAAAATGTATTTGGCTGAAGTAACAGAAATCTGACTCAAGACAGCTTACACAAAAAAATATGGTTCTCATAGCAGGAAGCTCAGAGGTAGAACAGATGTTACAGTTGATATATCCAGTGGCTCAAGAGCATCATCAAGAACCAAGATTCCTTCTACCACTCATTTTGCTTCAACCTAAAGCTGGCCCTCCTAGGTCATAGATGCCAGGAGCGGTAGGGGTTCTTTACCTCTTTGTTCAAGTCAGTGAGACAACACTGTGCATCCCCTCACAATGGAACAAAACCCCTTCCCTTTGGTCTGGTCAGGCCAAGTTAGGTCACATGCTAACTCCTGAATCAATAACAATCACTAGGTGAATACTATGCAAACAATGGCTTAGGTCTGGGCTCCTGAGCCAATCAATATTAAGAGGGATGAGTTTACTTTGATTGACTTAGCCATTCTGGACCACCCTTAGAATACAGGGTGAAGGGGGAGAATTTCCTAAAGCTGCACTGCTTCTCCTTGATAGGAAGGGATGTAAAGAATGATAGGGATTCAGCCATACTGCTGGAACCCTCTTCTACTTTTCCTGCAACTGGCTCCAGGCCTCAGTTTAAATGTCACTACAGAATTGGCTCTCTCCCATTAATCTTTATCCTTGAACCTTTGTTTCTCTTAGCACTTAGTGCAAGCTGTAATTTTATATTGTTCAGTTTACTTGTGAATTGTCAGTCTCCTCCACTAAAATGTTAACCTCCTGAGGTCAGAGACCACATCTATCACTGTTTCATCACTGAATACTCAGTGCCTAGAAGTGTCTCGCACATAATAGACGTACAGTTAATATTTGATGAAGAAATGAATGAACTCAGGAATAAATAGTATCTTCCTTTCTCACCGAGTCTCCAAAATATATTTTGAAGCTGCACACTGCCATTTCCGCTGCCACCATTTCAGCTCAAGCAGCTGTGTTCTCTCCTTTATGTAGTGGACCTCTTTTGTTTTATCTGTCTACATTTTCCTTTCTTGGGGAACAAACTCCCTTTCTTTGATAAACCTGTTCCTTCCCCATACTAATCATGTGTTTCTAGTGGGGCTATTTATATCCTGCCATTATATCCTGCCCAACACTTATCTCCCTACCACAAGGGTAGGTACCCAACCTATCAGAGTCCTATCCTGGAATTTTAAAAACTAAAACTAAAGGAAGAGATTCAGCCCCTCTCTCTTGGGCAAGCTGTGAGATGTGAAGGCAGGTACCATAGGTGCCCATTTCCTGTCAAGGGATCTGGGAGGGAGAAGATGAAACAAAGATAAGAGACATGGAGGCATTCCCTGTTACCTTGTGGTTCTTGATGGGCTAGCCTGAGGGAGCAGGGCCTTAGGGCCTTCATACGTACTATCCCCTTACTATCCCCTCTCCTGAAATGTTCTCCCTGCCTCTCTTTCGTTGGCCTGGCTGACTCCTCATCTTTTTGCCTCAGCTCAAATGTCACTTGCTTCACTTCCCTAATCAAAGTTAAGGTCTACAGGTATACTTCCTTCACAGAACTAGCAGTACTATGATTTCTTACCAGGACAGGCAGAAGAACTGTTCACAGACAGTCTTCATTCAGATTATATTGAGACCTGTTTTGATGGGTAGGTGCTTATGCTGTGTACCCTGTTAAATATTTTTAATATCATCTTTGCGTAGAATCTGTTATCTTCTTTCACAATCAATTTGCATATATGCACAAGCTGTTTCCTGTCTACACTATATGTTCTATATATATATATTTTTTTTTTCTTTTATCGTCATTGTATACCTAATGTCTAAACAATAGTTGGTGCACAACACAGTATGTGTTGAAAGAATGAGTGAATTTTTTGGGCAGCTCCTGGAAAAATTTTAGACTGGATGGGTGTGGCAACCAGTCCAGGTTCTGACAGGATTGGAAACAGAGTCTTGGTCATGGGGTAATGTGGGGTAAGTTGATAAGAGGACACTAGTTATAAGGCTGTTCTACTCTCTTACCCACCTGAGATGCTGGAGTTGATAAGGAGGTAAAAGGTGCCAAAGAGAACTTGCTTACTCATCCTATAATATTTCACTCACAGTATGGCTTGGTTTTCCCCATGGGGCTGGTTCTGTGGTCTCTTTACATGCAAGGGGATCCAAGTGGCTTGGCTCCATTGGGAACCTGAGGCTGGTAAGCCAGATAGCCCAAATTCTGCTTATGAACTGCGGTCAAACTGCTGCTGTAGGTCTGCAGGTGATGTCCCCACCCTTTAAGTCAGTTTCCTCATCTTGCCACTTTGTATCTGGGGTCCTTAAATCCTGCCTTACCTCCTTCTCGGTTTCAGAGCCTTAGGTCCTCGTCCTCTATAATTTATTCCCTCTCAATTTTGTGATGAGTTTAAATGGAGGTATTTTCCCTCCCCCTTGGCTACTGGCCAGCAGCTTCAGTTCTTTACCACATGGGCCTCTCATGAAATGGCAGCTGGCTTCCCCCAGAGCCAGTGATCCAAGAGAGAGAGGAAAGCAGAAGCCACAATATCTTTTATGATTTAGCATCAGAAGTGACATATCAGGGGTGCCTGGGTGGCTCAGCTGGTTAAGTGTCTGCCTTTGGCTCAGGTCATGATGCTGGGGTTCTGGGATCGAGTCCCACATCGGGCTCCCTGCTCATTGGGGAGCCTGCTTCTCCCTCTCACTCTGCTCCTCCCCCAGCTTGTGCTCTCTCTGTGAAATAAATAAAATCTTAAAAAAAAAAAAAAAGTGACGTATCATCACTTCTGCCATATTCTATTGGTCACACAGACCAACCTTGATTCAGTGTGGCAGAGGACTTCACAAGGATATAAAGACCAGGAGGGAGGAATCACTGGTGGCCATTTTAGAGACTGGCTACCTCAGAAGGGTTAGAGGAATTTAGAGAAGGAAAAGAAAGTTTTAGGACTTGGAAGGAGATGGAGGAGACATTAACTGAATGCCTATTATGGGCCAAGGCCTCACACTTTTTTTTTTTTTTTTAAGATTTTATTTATTTATTTGACAGAGAGAGACACAGTGAGAGAGGGAACACAAGCAGGGGGAGTGAGAGAGGGAGAAGCAGGCCTCCCGCCAAGCAGGGAGCCCGATGCGGGGCTCAATCCCAGGAACCTGGGATCATGACCTGAGCTGTAAGGCAGATGCTTAATGACTGAGCCACCCAGGCACCCCATGGGCCAAGCCCTTTGTATCTGTATTAATCTCTTCCACAACACTAAGGAGTAGAGATTATTCCCATTTTTCATATAAAGGAATTGAAACATGGAGAAAATAAGTGTCTAAAATCAAATCCAGTAAGTTGCCAGAGTGAGGATTTGTACGTTATGTATGCCACCAGTGTTGATCTAGTACATTTAATATGTACCAAAGGGTGGGACATATGCTACTTGTGGTATGAGAAACAACTTTAGGTAGTAGAGAAACATAGCATTAAATAACATTGAAAAGATAAAAATTATTTTTAATCCTCTGTATCAAGAGAAGGCTTCAGTTTCAAAGACTTATGCCTTATTACCTCTCTAAAACTTGTTAATTTATCTTTTTTAAGAAAGAGAGGGCAGGCCCCAGGTTCAGCATCTTTGACAATGATATTACTTTGGTAGAATTTGATAATATATTTCATTTTCATTGTATTGACTTTTATTTTAATTTTTTTTTTAAAGATTTTTATTTATTCATTTGACAGAGAGAGACACAGGGAGAGAGGGAACACAAGCAGGGGGAGGGGGAGAGGGAGAAGCAGGCCTCCCACAGAGCAGGGAGCTTGATGCCGGGCTGATCCCAGGACCCTTGGATCATGACCTGAGCGGAAGGCAGACGCTTAACGACTGAGCCACCCAGGCGCCCCCATTGTATTGACTTTTAAAGTTACTTTCTGTTTGTAGTCAGGTGATACTGATTTTAAATTTACTAAAGGATTATATGAAGTTTGATTTGTAACTTTTATTTAAGTTTGGTACATTTTAAGTAATAGTAGTTCAAGTGATACTTTGGTATGGCAAAAATTGTGAGGATGGCACTGAGGTTTATTGCCTTCAGGTCTATGTTGAGGGTGCAGCTAGTCTGAAGTTCCAGCCTCAACTCGGTTCCGCTATGAGCACCAACTGGGGAGAATCATATAATAAATTTTACAAACAGTCCTTTGCTGTGATATTTCCTAAGCATTTCTCCTTTATCCAATGAATTCCTCAGGACTGGTGGGGAGTCTTGTAGACAGTGGAGCTGGGAAGGAGAATGAGTTTAGTGCCTACGTTTCCTGCTCTATTTAACTGTCTCTTAACAAACACATCTTACAGATGTGGCTGGTGCAGGCAGTATAGTGGGGAAAAGTCCAGAGGGAGAAATGTACATAGTATGTGTATTTCCCAGTCTCTTAGTCCCTGATCCAACTCCATAGTCTGTGATTTTGGGGTCCGCCAAAACTTCCAAGCTATTACATCTTCCCATTTAATACTTCCGTGGGAAACGAACAGGACCAAGTTCGTTTTACGACCAAGTTCGTTTTCGGACCAAAGTTTTAGGACACACGGGATGTGGCTGCTAGTTTCTATGGGAGCTGTTTGCGGTGAGGGTACAATGTAGGTGGAAGGGGGTTTCTGAAAGTTACGTTTGCACCTGACTTTACGTTATAGGTGAACAACTCGTGTCTAAATAGGTGGTTAGTGGCGGATAAATCCCAAGGAACAGGGCCAAGTACTGATAATACGGAAGTCCCAGAGTCCCTATAATACAGAAAAGACTAAACCATATCGGCCTCACAAAACCCCGCCCTCCGTCCCCTACCGTTCCCCTTGGGCGAGTTTGTCGGTGTCCCAAACGGTTCCCGCATGAGGTCACTCCGCCAAGTCACGTGCTTGAGCCCGCGGGAACGCCACATCGCCAGCCGCACCCCTCCACCCCCACCCTGCCCACGTGACCCGGCCTACTTTCTCCCCGCCCGACCCAACGCCTTGCTCAGGAAGCCCCGCCCCACGCAGCGCACTTGGCCTGCGAACCTTCGCCCCATATCCGCCCGTGCTGGAGCGTGGCCCGCAGCCCCACGTGTTTCCTTCTGCCCAATGAGAGACTGAGCCCGGGCTCAAAGGGGCGGGGAGGAAAGGACGACTTCGTTACGCTTGGAGAAGGGGGCGGGGCCTGCAACGTCGGACAGAACGAGGGGACGCAACGGAGGCAGGCCGGAGCCGCTGCCGTCGCCGTCGCCATGACCCGTGAGCACCGAGACCCTCTCTTCTTACCCCTTTCTCCCCGTCGGCCCTAAACACTACTGCCGAATCTTGGCATTTACCTCCTCTTGGCTTCCCCAGCTACGCCTTCCTCTGGAAGCGCTCTTTGAGACGCTCACACTCGGCGCCGGAAATCGGCCTTTTGCCCACCGCCACTTCTTGAGAACGTCCTCCCCCTTCTCCCGCCCCAGTCAAGCAAAGGCCCTCCGCGACCTTCCGCGGCGTGGCGAGAAGCCCCGCACCCTTGTGATAGGCCCGAGCCCCCTACTCCGGATCGCAGCCCATCCCCCACAGAGACCCAAACTGTGCACACACCACCACCAGTCTGGACCCCGGTGCCGCCCCAAAACTCGAAACACGCCTTTAGCGGACTCCTCGGAACCGTCCTCCTTCCACCTCCCGGTTTGACCTGCCCCGTGGCAGCTTGCCACTAGTGCCCCCCCCCCATTACCCCCGCCCCACTCAGCAGCCTAGGCCCCGAAATGGGCCGGTGTCGGGACCGGGGAATGAGCGTTGGACCCTGCTGGTGTCGGGTGAGGGAGGAGGGTTGCCGGTGTGTAGCCATAAAGGCCCCCCGCGTCTCACCTTTTACCTTCTTTCTTTAGGCGGTAACCAGCGCGAGCTCGCCCGCCAGAAGAATATGAAAAAGCAGAGCGACTCGGTTAAGGGAAAGCGCCGAGATGACGGGCTTTCTGCTGCCGCCCGCAAGCAGAGGTAGCCCCAGGGAGGGGAGGGGTGAGACCTGGGCTAGACCGAGGGTTGTACCAGGAAAGAGAGCCACCTCAGGGTTTACATCTGGACTAGTGAGGGGCAGAGTGCATTGCTTCCTCTAGGGTTTTATTTCCTCCCCACCCTCCAAATTGTTAGCTCACAGCCTGACAGGAAGGGACTGGGGCGGGTGCCTGCCCTAGGTTGATTTCTGAGTGCCCCGAGTCTGACCTTAAGGGCAAGGGCAGGGAGCTTCACATTTCAAATGCAGTAGTGGTTATGACAGCAGGGTACTTACGGCCCTCTTTGATGTTCAGTTTCTCCTCCCTTCTCCCAACCTTCTCACTGGTGTTGCTGGGTGTGGTACTCAGCAAAGAATAGCCTTGGGCCTGTGTGGCCAGACTTCTGACCCCTTAGGCAACAGCCAGATAGAGACTGACTGCCTTTTAAGCCTCAGCTCTCTTCCTCTTGTTCTCCTAGGGTGGGAATACGGCAGGCACACGCTGAATTTTGTCCCATCCACTTCCATCTTATCCTTTGTGCCCTTCATCCCCCTGCATCTTGTCCTTTTTGCCCTCTGGTACCTCCCAGTGCCCCATCATCTCTACCCCCAGGGACTCGGAGATCATGCAGCAGAAGCAGAAAAAGGCAAACGAGAAGAAGGAGGAACCCAAGTAGCTTTGTGGCTTCGTGTCCAACCCTCTTGCCCTTCGCCTGTGTGCCTGGAGCCAGTCCCACCACGCTCGCGTTTTCTCCTGTAGTGCTCACAGGTCCCAGCACCGATGGCATTCCCTTTGCCCTGAGTCTGCAGCGGGTCCCTTTTGTGCTTCCTTCCCCTCAGGTAGCCTCTCTTCCCCTGGGCCACGCCTGGGGGTGAGGGGGTTACCCCTTCCCAGTGTTTTTTATTCCTGTGGGGCTCACCCCAAAGTATTAAAAGTAGCTTTGTAATTTCTTGAGCGCCTGGTTTGACTGGGGATTTGGGGGGATGGGGATGGAGGAATGGCTGCCCTTTCCCACCAAAAGGGGAGAGAAATTTAGATTTTAAAAGGTTGTAGATATGTAGACTAAGTGAAACATCACAGAGAAATTCTTTATTTTACTACAACAAACAGACAAGTACTCCAGGTATGTGGTAGAGGAATCCTCTAAGAACCATAGGGACTTCTTTTCTGTGATTTTTGTCCCCCACCCAGACCTTGAACACCATCCCAAGGATGGAGTTGAGGGTCTAAGAAGGAAGGCTTCAAGACCTAAGTTTATGCCCCCTCTTTCTCATTCTTCCGCATTTTGCTCGCCTGCTTGGAAGTTGGCCCCCAAATTCTGCTGCTCACTGACTTCCCATGGTCAGCTGCTCTCTAGTGTTCACATTCTCTTCTGTTCTGTCATTCTTCATGGAATGAGGGTGGTTTTTGTCTTCCCACTTCCTTTGACCTCAAGATCAGGATTAAAACCTAGGGTGGTCTCTATATTCTTTCTTTCTGTGTCCTGGTTTGTTTTGGGCTGCTTATCTCCCTGTGCCCAGGGCTGAACTGCTTATTTTCCTTTTTATCTCCAAGGGCAGAGCCAAGTAAGTCTTCAGTCCCTGTTGGTCTTTCCCTGCCCCCATCTCCACCGTGAGAGCCAGGAAAGGGCTGGTGCCGCACTGTCTGTAGGGATCAGCAGTGGTTCCTGAGAGGCTGACTTGGGAGTTAGGTTCTTGAGCTGAGGTAAAGATGTAACGGTAGCTCTAGTGAGTCAGACACTCTGCCCATGGCGTTAGAGTACGTATGGCCACTTTCTCCTATTCAGACATAGTACTGACTTCAGTCTAAAGGGAGATAACTGCCCATTTTGTCCTTGAGGTATCTGCTGGGCTGGGCAGTTCCTGAGTCAAGACTGGGAGTATGACCTCAAGGGAACCCCAGCTAACAGTACCTAGACTGAATATTTATTATCTTGCAGTATTTATGCGATGGCAGTGTCGCCTGAAAGTAGAAGGTGGCTGGGAGTCCTGGGTGGGGGACCAACAGAGTGGTACCAGTAGAAGCCCAAGATAGAGGAGTACACAGGCCCAGCACGAGGCAACCTTGACCCAGAAGGTAGCCCAGCTACCCTTGATGAAGGTCTTTTCCAGTTCTGCTCCCTCATAGCTGCGGAACCAAAGTCTCTGGTTAGAGAATACATAGGACCTTAGCTTTCAGACCTGTTCCTACCTCCCCACCAAAGATGACGGTGGACCTATGTGTGTCTTCCTGAGAACCCTTAGGAATGGCCTTAAATTGCTCTCCCTAAAATAGGTTTTCAGTATATCCCAGGCCCACTTCCATCCTACCTGAACCAGTTGGTAAGGGTAACCATAACATAGAGTGATGCAAGGAAGAAGACAAAATGGAAGGCAGAATAGCTGTAGGAGAGATGCTGGGCTTGCACTGGAGGAGTTGGAGAGGTCTCTTGGTCAGCTGGCCTGGCAGCCCCACCCCTCTGCCCTGGAGAGAGAGGGAAGGACTGCTGGGAGCAGTGTGGCTGAAACTTCTTCCCTCCTCCCCCAGTTTCTTTTGTGAAGGCGCTCCAGGGCTCTTCGGCACTCTGCAGAAATCTACACTTTTTTAGGGACATTCTTAATGACACTTACCTTCCTTTGGTTTCACTGTTTCAGGGCAGCAGAAACAGAGTGAGGGCTTCTGTAAAACAAAAGGCAGCATGTTTTGGAATGATTTTTTAAAGACTGTGAGGGTATAGAGGAAACTCTCCTTTGAAAAGATTAGTCTGGTGTAAAAAGTGGAGGCACATCTGGGTTCAAATTCTAGCTCCAGCATATAACTGACTATGAAAACTTTGGTAAGATGTTTAACTTTTTGTGCCTCAATTTCTCCATTTGTAAAATGGAGCAAATACCTACCTCACAGGGTTGTTGTGAGGATTAAATTAAATGAGATTATGAATGTAAAGTATCTAGCACAGTGCTTAGCACATTGTGGGTACTTAATAAAAGGTAATAGCAGCTAGAATCTGAGCATTCTGGGTAGAGGTTGGTAGGATGTGTGTGTGTCTTTGTGTGTGAGGGGGGAAGGGCATTGGGGATATTGAGCTCTCCATCCTCACCTGGAACTCACAGCTGTAAACCTTGACAATCCATAGGGGTCCAAATACCTCAGCCAGGTAGGAAGCCTCATTGCTGAGAAAGAAGAGAGTTCTCAAGCGCATTCAGTCAAATAGCAGGAGGGGTTGCCTGAGAACATGTACTGCTAGCTGGTCCATATTGGTAGTCCTCAGGAGGGTATTATATTCCCAGAGCCTGTTTCCCCCAAATATTTATAAATCTCGTCATGTGAGGGCCCTAAAACCTTTGTACATATTTTTAATTCTCAAGTCATTCTCCCTGCCCCCTTCATCCAATACAGATCATCTGACAAGTGCTATTCTTAGAAATTGTTTCTGTTTATGGGGAACTTTCCTCACTCTTGTCTTGCTCTAAAGTTCAAATAAACCATGGTCCCAGACAGTCTCCTGACCATCCTTCTCTGTCCTGGGTATCCTCCCTTCTCTCACACCTCTCCCCTTGATACCTTTACGCACCAAGCAAAAAGGACACAAATATACATGATGCCAGCACTTAGCACTGCCAGAGAAGTATCTGGTGTTTGCGATTCCATTTTACTCAGGCCAGGCAAGCACAAAGTGTGATTTTGTCCTTGAAGGATTACTGAGAAGGGGCAACAGAAGAAAGGTGGTAAGAACAAAGAGCTAAGTATTTGTCAGGAACAAAAAAAGGTTTTAGCATGGGGAATCTAGGTCCAGTCCTTACCACTCTCTGGAGGACGGCTGGACACTGCAGAGAAAGTCAGGTACATGATATAGCAGCTGATGATGGAGGCTTGTAGAAGGCCAGAACGGGGTTGCTCTGGGGAGAATGGAGATCATTGCTTTTGTCTACAGGGTGGTAATTTCTTCCACTCATACTCCTCTATCTACGCTTCTCCCCACTCTTTGGAGGAAGCAGACTGTTGACTAAGATTAGGGAAGCTAATTTTTCTATTACTAAAGGCCTACCAGATTTGGAATGTTGCAAGGCATGTACCCACTGAGACGGATGCAGGGAGCGACGGAGAGGAAGGAGAGGAGGCCACAGAAACAAAGGTGTAGACTAAGCAGCATCTTGTTGAGCAGGCAGCCAGCTGGGTGTGTGTAGTGGCGGAACAGGAGCACAGCTGCCACACCTGCCATGCTGTAGAATCCCAGGGTGGCCAGCAGTACAGCTAGGAACCAGCGGCAGTCTTGGGCTGCACCGGTCTGCCTAAGGGTGGGAGGTGGGCAGTGGCTTGGGGCTCCAGCTCTTTACCTGTTACTATTCCCTGTCCCCCAGAACAGTGGTGTGACTACCCATCCCACCTAGCCCACAGAGTCATGTTTCTGAGCTTTTTGGTACTGCTCAGTAGGAAGTTACGGGACCACTGACCTGTCATGCCCTTTGTCCAACCACACTGGGTTGGACAACCTTTCCAGGTCAGACAACCTTCCCAGGAAGAGCCTTTAGGGTTAGGTGCTCCTTACCAGTTTTTGTTCCAGGAATGGGCAAAGGCTGTGATAAGCACCAACTGCAGCAGGATGAATGTGAAGCCTCCACAGATGCCAATGTAATGCCAGGCTGCAGATGGGGGGCACCAGTGGGAAAATGTAGCTGACCATGTCATTACTCCTGGTTTTCTTCCTACCCTTTCTTTTTCTTAGAAAATCTATTAGCTTACTCCTGCTGATTAGGATATGAGATGGAAGGTACCTGGGAAGAGATGCTCATCAGGGATGCAGAAGGCAACAGCACAGAGACCTAGCAGGAACAGCAGTTTGAAGAGCCAGAAGCTGGTTAGGAGACAAAAAAAGACAAGAAAAGGCAAAGGAGAGTCAACAGTGCCTATGGAGGAAGGCAAAGGAGAAAGCAAAACTATAGGAAAGGGGAGAGAAGAAACAACTAAGTATAGGAAAGGAACCAGTCCCACGTGAGAGGGGCTGGAAACAGGCCCATCACAGCCTATTCCAAATTCTAACTCTCAGATACCTAAATAATAACATCTGGACAATGTTTCACAGTTGACAAAGGGTTGCATATAATAACCCCACTGTTATCTCCATTTTAGAAACTAGAAGTTCAAAGAGGGTAAGTATGTGGCTCATGGTCACACAGTAAGTATGGCGGAAGCAGGAACTTAAAACTGGTTTTGGACTTTTTATACAGTTACTTCATCTTTGAATTTCCTTTACTAAGCTTATGTCTACTTCCCTCCCCATCCTCACCCCACCCAAAATGTATATACACAAACCTGTTATGGAGCTGTGCACGTAGGCTAGTGGGGGAGTGGAGCTGGACTAGCAGCACAGCCTGCAGCAGGTGGAAGGTGGCAGTTCCTGCACATACTCGGTACACAGCTCCAGAGCCACTGAGCACTGGGCAGTGAGGGTGGCCAAACAGATGGACACACAATCCTGAGGGCATCTGGATCTGGAGGGAGAGTGCATGTGAGAAATGGCAGGGCAAATCATCATGTATAGAGAGGTACCTGCTTCTCAGGGTATATCCATTCACTTGTCCCTTAACCCCAATCTGAATCTTTTGTCTGAAGGTTTCTTCTTTTTCCCTTTCTCCTGTTGGAACCTGAACCCTCCCACTTACCCCATGTGCCTTCCCCCAGACCCTTTCCACTACTGTCCTTGACAGCAGGAGGCAGCAGACTGCTGAGGACCCCACATGGAGGAGGATGTAGACCAGACGGCTACAAGTAGACTCTGTGACAAGGGGCCATCTAGAATGGCAGCAGCAGGTACAGGGAATAGGCCCACAGCAGGACACCTGGGGGTAGAGCAGCAAGATAGAGATTTGCTGAGGAAAAGCTTACATTAATGTATGCATTAGATTAACCATGAGGCTGAATTCCAAAATTTCCCTTTCCCTTTTCTTCTCTCCTTTTACTCAGGAATTCTCAGAATCTGGTTCCAAGCTATTTAGGATTGCCTTCCACTGACATCAAGTAGAGCTTTCATCATAAGAGCTGATGCAGGCTTGAGCAGACCTTCCTAAAAGCCTAAGTCACACCTGGCCTCTCACCTTTCTGTAGACCTACAGATCTGGTACTGGGAAGTGGGAGGAGAGGTTTAATGATCAGTAGTCTCAGGGGCAAAGAAACGGAAAGGCCTCAGAGGAGAAAGGGAAGGCCTGTCATTTTTATTGGCTCCTGTGGGTTTTCCTCCCCAGCTTCAGCTACCATTCCCTTCCATTTTTTTCAGATAGTTCTTGCTCTGGGGACCTTTCAAGCCCCTCTGCCCAACTATGCTCTCACCTGGTAGAAGGGAGGATTCACCATGACACTGCTGACTTCAGTGCGTTGTGCCAGGCGGAGAGAAGTGCTGGGGCCTGTAACAGCCTTTGCACCCACCATCCTTGTCCCAGGGATTAGGCACAGGTCCACCAGATGGAAGGTAGAGGAGAAAGTAGCAGCTTTCTTTTGTCCTCAGCCATGGGCTGCCACAGTGCTGGGGTGGTCACCCAGTCTAAGGCAGAATGGGGAGGAACAGCAGGAAAAGAACACCGACCTCCAGGATGTGGTAAATGCAAATATCTCTCTAAATCTACTTTCTCTCCAGGGCCTTTGGGCCACACAGGCAGTTCTCCCCAGATTAGAGAGCAGTTTGCAAATCTGGCCTCTAGTGGATTAGCATTCTTAATTGGTTTAGGATTAGACGTCATCCATCCTGGTTGAACAGAATGGCGGGGGGGCGGGGGTGGAGTGGGTAGAATCTAGGTGAACAGAAGGTAAGGATGTCGGTTGGGAAGGGCTGGAGTGGTGACCGGCTAGGTGTGGGAGAGGGCCTTGCATAAAACAACACTAGAACCCCCCCAAAGGAAGTCTGAGAGGCGACCGACTTTCCTGGCTGAAGTTTCTAGAACCCAGGACATTAGTGAAGGTGTGGCCCGAGGCCTAGCCCCGCCTCATCCTCTCCGGGCGGAAGTTTCGGGGCAGTTACCGGAAGTCTTCATGAGGTGGGGCGGGGCCTGTGCAGCGGCACGGTGGGATCGATATGGCTACCGAGGGGGATGTGGAGCTGGAGTTGGAGACTGAGACCAGCGGCCCGGAGCGGCCTCCCGAGAAGCCACGGAAGCATGACAGCGGTGCGGCGGACCTGGAGAGAGTCACCGACTACGCAGAGGAGAAGGAGATCCAGAGTTCCAATCTGGAGACGGTGAGGTTGGCCGTGAGCGTGTCTGGGCGGGCTGAGAGCGGAGGGGCCTCTCAGGTTATAACTGGAATCCGCGCTCCAGGACGGGCTCCCCTTCCCGTTGGCGGGAGGAGGCAAGAGGGAAACCGTCACTGGAGCCCGCCGCTTGCGAAAGGGAGCTTTATGGAGATTGTATTTAAAGTGGCCCTCAGGTGCACAGAATTAAGTTAAACCTAGGCCTTGGTTCCTGATACACTCATCATGAATAGGCTGTTCCCCCCCTCCCCCCCGCCGACCCACTTCTTACTAGCTTTTTAGATTATTGGGAATTGTGGGTGGCAGAGCGGTAAGGAGATCTATTTTTCTCATAGGCCATGTCCGTGATTGGAGACAGACGGTCCCGGGAGCAGAAAGCCAAACAGGAGCGGTAAGTCAGTACGCACAGCCAGCCCTACTAGTTCCTCTCTTCCCCTTACGAAAATAAAAGCCATCGTTAAGCCTTTACCTTGTACCGTTCTTCAACTCTGTCACCGATTTCTGCATATATAAGGTTTACAACCCTACTTTGTTGTTGGTGGAAGGAAAGGCCTGACAGCACCTGCTGCCTGCTGTAAAGACTCGAGGGGAGGGGATGGGGATGTTAGGTGAGGCGGTGAGAGTCATTTTGTATTTTCACTCAACGGTGTTTGTCAGGAGTCATTTATTTGTAAGGCAGAGCTGGAAATGATCTTTCTGAGAGTTAATGGTGGAGGTAGAGAATGAGGACTAATGTACATGAATATTTGCAGGGAGAAGGAACTGGCCAAAGTCACCATTAAGAAGGAAGATCTGGAGCTGATAGTGAGTAGTAATGCCTAACTAGTGTATGGGCAGAGGTTACATTGCTTAATTGGGGTTGTTTACTGAAACAAGTAGAGTCAACAAGTCTTGGTGGCATTTTAATGCCCCAGAAGAAACTTAGGTAACATCATCGATCCTTTTCCTGCAGATGACAGAGATGGAGATCTCAAGAGCAGCAGCAGAACGGAGCTTGAGGGAACACATGGGCAACGTGGTAGAGGCTCTTATTGCCCTAACCAACTGATTTGTGCTTTCTCAGACCCACTCACTGGATTATTTTATTTCAATAAAGATGTAGCCGTTTTTTTTTTGCAGTTCTATCATCTTGGATCGAGTGTTTTGTATATTATGCTGTATTTTATTGTGGGAAATTTACATGTTGGAGTATAACTGAATTTAAGCAACTCCCCCTGCCTCCGGCCTTAATGAAATCATGTGAAGGATCAGTGCAGAATGGTACCTCATGACCTCATGTTCACATGCAGATGCTAGGTGGCAGGCCAGGCTCATTCATCTGACTAGCTTTCAGTGGTATTCAGGGTACATTTGGAATTTCAGCAAAGTTGCTGAAGCTCATGGCATGGGTCTCTAGGGTGGTTTATATACCACCAATCTTGTTCATAAGCCACTTTTTTAAAATGTTTTTTTTAAGAGAGCGCATGGTGGGGGTGAGTGTTGGGGGGCAGAGGGAGAGAGAGAATCCCAAGCAGGCTCCACACCCAGCATGGATCCTGACACGGGGCTCGATCTCATGATCCTGAGATCATGACCTGAGCCAAAATCAAGAGCTGGGTGCTTAACCGACTGAGCGACCCAGGCACCTTATTCATAAGCCCCTTAGAGTTAGAATTTAGGTACCGAATTGGAAACATGGTAAATACAATAAAAGATACCAAAGGTTAGGTCTTTTGCAGAATTAATCTATGAAAGGCTTTGATTTATGAAGTTGATTTAATTGAATTCTGAACCGCCACAACGCTGTGCCTTACATTCCATTTCCCATCCTGGAGAGAAGACAGTTTTACTTTAAAAGTTGATCAACCTTTGGCCAAGTCATCCTTGCTGAGCTTCTGTTTCCCCAACTGTAAAATGATACATACCTGACAGGTTGTTTTAAGAACTTAAAGAGTTGGTGAATGTGAAAAGCTTGGACTACTGCCTGCCTCAGAGTGGACACTCAAATAGCAGCTACAAACATATTCTTAAAAGAATTTCAGTATCTTATTCTCATTTTGGCTCTAGGAAAATCTTAGATTGTATCCGTCTGGCACACACATAAGTGACTTATACTCAGATTAATGTGTTATTACCTCCTAGTAATTTGTATTCATAGTCTTATTTTAGGACATGAAAGATTTGTGAATGCTTCTTCCAGTGGGGCATTTAAAAGATGGTGAAAAGACCTTGACCCTCTCATTTTTTTATGTAATTGAGAAATATCCTTCCCACTGATTAAATGTCATTCCTTATAACCCCTAGGACTCCTAGTGCTCTGCCATGTGCATGGTGGTTATGTAATAAATATTAAGTGGAAAACCACTTAATTTAACTCTAGCTTGATGTCATTACATTGCAACTTGGAAAACACTATACCCTCATATACAAGCTGAGTGTGGAGGGTACTGGTAAGTACTTGGCTTCCCTATTTCATAAGTCAACTTTTGTTCTAAATACAGCTATATTTTAGAGAGCAAAGAAAACCATACATATATCTGCTCATGGAGTAAATCTGGGTGCCACTTAGAATATAGCCTGTCCAGCATCTTAATTTCTGAGATCAAAGGTGATGATCAGAATGTGAAACACTCTTTGCCCAACAATTCTCTGTGGTCTTTTATTTCATAGGAAGATTCTTGTCAGCCTGCCCATTTTATTTCCAGTATCAAAAGAAACCTCTTGGTGTAGGATTCTTTTTTTAAAAGATTATTTATGAGAGAGCAGGGCGCAGGCGCAGAGGGAGAGAGAATCTGAAGCCGACTCTGAGCTGAGCACGGAGCTCAATGTGGGGCTTGATCCCACGACCACGAGATCATGACCTGAGCTGAAACCAAGAGTCGGACGCTTAACTGACTGAGCCACCCAGGCGCCCTTGGTGTATGATTCTTTTATTTCTTGACACACACATAAATGGATCAAAAAATACGTTCACATAGAAAAACTGACTCCAACCAAAAATGCAAAACAGATATCTGTGAGCTGAGATTTACTGTAAGGTAGCGTTGTCCACTTACATGCCCTTGTTTATAACCCAAGCTAAGAGGCTGGAAAAAGAAACCTGGAATAGTCCCAAGTGAATCTGGGAAGCAGACCAGTGATGAAACGTAAGATTTTGCAGAAATGGTTTTAAGTGGGGAGCCTCTGATCCTACCTGGATAGTGCTTTTCTGTGGGTTTCTCAGCATGAGTCCAAACCTCACAAAGCACCTTCAAAGACTGGATTGCCCAGTGTCACAAGTATGGCAGTAGGTCCAATAGGCTGGATACAGGGGCCATGTAAATAATGGTAAAAGCAAATCAAGGACCAGATGCTGAGACAGTCCCTTGTGTCTCACCAGCTGGAAGTAGTTGAACTCTTAAGTAGTTTTCCGCTTCTTGGCAGATGGCCGTTCAAATACATCTCGTACCCCAGCTGCCTTTTGTTTAAAGAACTTTGTGTTCTGGGCACTCTCTTGGCCCCATGCTGAGTCAAAAGAGGTGGTGTCCTGATCCACAAGGTGGGTGTACTTGGTGCGACCAGAGCGCCCGAAGTTCTTGACCTGATCAAGGAAGGATAGATTATGAGTTATACCACCAAACATCAAGTCCTCAATACATAACTTTTCTCTCTCATGTTCTTAAGGTACCCCATACCTGCATGACTTTGGGAAGAATGGTTTTGTTGAAATGATCCTCCAGGGTAGGTGCACTGAAATCTCTCTTGTATACTTCTTCATCCTCATCCTGTAAAAAAAAAAGTATTATCAATCTTGTGATTTTTATTGCCTATATATTCAAACCACTAATTTATTAACCTCTACGACAAGGGATACAAAGAATGAGGGTACTGAACCTATTCATGAGCTTACATGTAGTTGAGATGATACTCCTTTCTCTCTTTGTATTGTCTTTTTTCTTCCTAAATGTGGATGTTTCCTGAAGGTTGGCTGTATTCTCTCTGTACTCAATATGTTCATTCAGTCATATGACTTCAACTCTGTAGAAGCCTCTGAAATCTCATTTTGAATTTTCTACTGCCCATTATATAGCTTAGCTTGGATATTCTGTTGGGACTTCAGACTCATACCTAAAGTGAAAATCATTTCCCTAACCTTTTCAAACCAGGCTCTTCCTGATTTAACTTCTTCTGTTAATAGAACCAACATTTTCTCAATTACTCAGGTTCAAAATTTATGTAAACTTTGTGCATAATGAGTTTCCACTTATAAATTCTAACTCCCTGGGTTATTATAGTTTTTCCCTAGAATCAACCTTACACAGTGCCACTAGGCTAATGTTTCTAAAACACACCCTCATACCTTTGCCTTGCTCAAAAACTTCCAGTGATTCTGTTTTGTTAAATAAGCACAACTCCTCTATAGTAGTCAAGGCCAAATAACATATAGCTGTAATCTACCTCTCCTTGTCAACTCCCTTTACAGATGATGCTTTTTGCCTCCACTCCTAGTCCCTTCACATGGAATGTCTACTACTGAAGTCAGCAAGTCTACACATTTTTTTTTAAGATTTTATTTATTTATTTGAGAGAGAGAGAATGAGAGACAGTGAACATGAGAGGGAGGAGGGTCAGAGGGAGAAGCAGACTCCCCGCCGAGCAGGAAGTCTGATGTGGGACTCGATCCCGGGACTCCAGGATCATGACCTGAGCCGAAGGCAGTTGCTTAACCAACTGAGCCACCCAGGCGCCCAAGTCTACACATCTTAAATGTGCCCTCCTTCGTGTTATCCCTCTCCATCTCCTACAAAGTAAAACATCTCCCTCTTCAGAAATCCCACAGTATTTTCATTCGTCTTTATGTCATAGTATAGTATATGTTTGCCTTAACCCCATTTTTAGGTTGTAAGCCATCTGAGGGCAATAATTTTATATCCTGTAGCAGTGTCAAACAGTAGTGTTCTTGGGGCTCCTGGTTGGCTCAGCTGGTAGACCATGCAACTTTTTTTTTTTTTTAAGAGAGGGAGACAGAGAGGCAGGGAGTAGGGAAGAGCAGAGGAAGAGGGAGAGGGAGAGAGAATCCCGAGCAGGCTCCACATCCAGAGGAGAGCCCAACATGGGACTCGATCTCACTTAATCATGACCTGAGCTAAAATCAAGAGTTGGACACTCAACCGACTAAGCCACCCAGGTGCCCCTAGACCATGCAACTCTTAATGTCAGGGTTGTGAGTTGAAGCCCTACATTGGGGTCTGCATGGAGCCTACTTAAAACAAAAAATGGGTGCCTGGGTCGCAGTTAGTTAGGTGTCTGACTCTGGGTTTCGGCTCAGGTCATGATCTCAGGGTTGTGAGACTGAGCCCCACATCGGGCTATGCACTCAGTGCGGAGTCTGCTTTGCGGTTCTTTCTCCCTCTCCCTCTGCCCCTCCTGCTCATGCTTTCTCTCTCTAAAATAAATAAATAAATCTTTAAACCACCCCCCTCAAAACAAAAACCAGGAGTGCCCTCTACACAGTAAATGCTCAAAAGGTTATTTACTTAATAGACTATATATAAAAAAATTATAGAGAAGTTACAAATCAACATACTAGTAAAACTATAATGTTATGATACAAATTATACATGTGGTAAAGGGATTAAAACAGTACCATTTTGATTAAGGAAAGCTTTGTGGAACAGCTGAGTCCTTCAACCAAATACACTTTTGGAGTATTCTCTTCAGCTACAGAAAGGCTTTAAAGGTAAGACAGTTTTTGTGAGATCTACTTTTCTCCTTGTTAGAGGCTGAGTCCCTCATTTAATCTCAGAAGGTATTTTATCTTCACTCTCCTTATCCAGATGAGGAGAGTTCACTGAGTATGTGCACCAAAAGACTTTTACATAAACCTTTCCTTATGTATCTTAGCCAGCAATGCACTGCTTCTCTCAGAAGCTTATTAAAGCTGCTCAAATGTATAAGCAATGATACTTAATGACCTTAAAGCAGTAAAGAAATAATTCATAATCTCCAATGACTCCAATCTAGAAAACTGCATGAGCTAGGACACTATATAATAAGCAAACATTTCCGGCTGAGTAGACTGAAACTGATTTTGGAGGGGAATAAGGAACCCTTCACTGAAGTTTAGATTTTACTGGTATCTACAATGAAAGGCAGGAATCTAGCTGCAGTAGGGATTTTTAGGGTTTGATATAGCATTTGAAAAAAATGAGTCTACTTTTTGATTCAAACTTGGATAGCATCAGGTAGTAATTTAACAAACCACATGCTATTACAGTAATAAATGCAATCAATTCTTTGCTTCCCTTTCCTGACATCGCTCCATTAACAAATTATCACTGGTATCATCTATATAATTTGGAAGAAGTCCTCATCACTTTATACAGGGTTAACAGATTGTTATTTTGACCTTGGTCTTTATATGAAGAACAAAATTTTGATGGTATTACACATAATGGTTAGATAATAAACCATTTTTATTGGTTAGTTAGGCTTAGTCACTTTCTGTCAGCTCAGAATGAAGTGAATTAAATTTCTGCCTCCCAAATATTTGCATAAGCAAAACTTCTTACTCTGCTATGAAGAGTAACATCTAGTTAATTTTGGGGATTTAAATAATCTTATCTATCTGTACAGTTCACTGTCTATTTTTAGTTCCTTAGTTCTTCTGTTACACCATTTCCTCCTGATAGCTGGGGCCAAAAGAGAGAACAGTTGCTGCTACTGGTAAAATCCTGTTGCCAGTGCTTTTTCCTATTGGGTTTATATCTTCAGAGGCAAAAAGCAAATGAGAAAACTGATCATTGGCAAGTAGAAGTAACATCCTAGGACAGTTTATACTTGGGGGGAGAAAAGAACTCAAAAGTTCTGAGTTACTTCTACAGCTCATTCCCTTTTCACTTACCATGAAGAAGGCACCCCGGTGATAATACTTCTGTAAGAACTTATATTTGCCCTTAACAGCTTTGTTGGTAATGACTTTGCCATTTGCCCGAAGCTCAGCTCGCCTCTCTTCCTCAGTCAGGTTTCGCATTCGTTCAATTTCTGCCTTCTCCTTCTCAAGCCTGTGCAGAGAACAAAATTATTTATTAGTATCATTCCAGCTTCAGAGAGACTCAAATTATCTGAACACAATGCAGTCTCACCTCCTTTCAAGCATTATTCACTTTCTTTAATTCTAGCTACTGCCTGTTAGGAATTAAGATCAGGAGCCCAACAAATAAAAAAGGTGAGGTGGTCTTCATTATTGCAAACTTCCAGAAGTTTATTCTAGCCTTTATAAGGTTCAGACATACTATTACTGCTTGATTTTGCAATATTAGTAATTCCCCTTCCTTAAAAAGCCTACTTGGCTTTAAAAAATATCAGAATTTAACATAACCATGTTAAGATTTTATTGGTATTTTTTAAAGTAATTGTATATGTATTTACATGTCTCAAACCAAGGGTTACCATCATTAATTAGATTGCAGGGACTAACCCTTTTTGGGGGAGGGGGGCCAAAGATCCCCTTTCTCCAGAAAAATACAAATATATGTAATTTTGTATATAATTTTAAAGGGTACATGGACTCCTTGAAACCCAGTATAAAAATCTTAGAAAATGCAGGCTGAGGACAGAGTTTTCTACTGATGGTTTCCCTTTGTAATCTGGGATTACCCTCTCACTGCTAGTAATTTTCAAGAATGGGTGATGCAGCTCAGAAATTATTCTGCTCTAACAATAGTGACTGTGGCAGATTATTTAAAGGCCACAAATTCTCCCCCCCAGAGTATGCATGCCCCTTTGCAGAAATGACATGTGAGCCTTAAAAGACCTTGCCAGTTTCCACTTTTGCCCTCTTGGAATACTGCCATGAGACTGTTAGGTAAGAAATCCAGTCTAGCCCACTGAAGAAGTAAGGCAGTCTAGCATTAACTACTGGACATGTGAATGAACCCATTTTGGACACTCTAGCCCAGCCAATCCTCTAGCTGGATGCAACTGCATGAGAGAGCCTAGGTAAAACTAGCAGAGGAACTGCTTAGCGAACTCGAACACTGTGAGGAATAATCAGTTGTTTCAAGTCACCAAATTTTGAACTGGGTTTTTATGCAAGAACAGATAACTGATAACAGTGAATAATGTCTGCGTGTCTACTAGAAAACTACAGGGAGTATCAGCTGGCACTCTATCACAGAGAAACACTGACAAAGTGTTTCTTTTCCCTGATTTCATTGTAATAAGCCACATTCCAATTATGGAAAACTCACTCAGCTGCAGGAACCATAAAGAAATCTGGAATGGAACTCACAGTTGGTGTTGAACCTCACTCCTACCCCACTAGGAACCCATCCCATTACTGATATTAAACTCTAGGTCCATCTTATTACTCACGCTTCTCGATCTTCTCTGTCCCTCTTGATTCTCTTTAGCTCCCGGACTTTCCATGCCTCATATTCTTCCTCATCATTTTCATCATCAGTATTGAGAGCATCCAGTGCAGCCAGGGATCGCTTGTTCTCCTCCAGCTCTTTCTTGGTCTCCTCTTCTACAATCTGGGTAAGGAGAACAATTCACCTGTTGGATTTCCTTATTTTCCTCAGACAAACCTAAGTACACTCCTCCTTGCATGCAATCCTCACAGCCACTCCCAGTACCTTGAGTGTATACTTGCGCCTCTCTTCAGCCATGCGTTTTGCTTCCTGCTCCAGCTCCTTCTGTTTCAATGCTTCAGCCTCACGTTCTTGAACTGTTACTCGGTCCTTCCTGCAGCACAGAAGTCCTGTTAATTGCCCAAAGCCCTCAGAGTGGACCTCTTTGTCCTCTAACTCAAGTCCCATCCAAATCAGACAAAGCCCAACAATTGCTGGCTCTTTTTTTTTTGCAAAGAGCCAAAATTGGGAGTCACCCCAGGTATTCAGAGCATTAAAACTCCATCCATCTGAGAACTGCCTGAATAGCAAGAACCTGCTGGACTGGACTGTAAGTAGTAGGATTTCTCGCCCTTAGGAAAGGATTAGGAATTCACTCTTCAAGTTTAATTTTGTGCTTTATAGGCCCGTGGGCAGATTATGTGCTCTTTAACTGGAAAGGGAGATGTGAAAACAAACTCAGGCTCTCTGTTAACACCATGATATTCCTCAGCAAATATTCTGCACAGGTAGGGAATTGGGCAGAAGACTTTCACTCAGTGCTGACATTTCAGAAGAGCATGAGATAGAAAAGAGGCTTCTATCCTCAGACCAGGAAAGTAGTAACTATGTGGATTCAGGCCTGTTTTGTGAGATACTTACTTTCGAATGAAGACAGGTTTAAGGCGAGGCTCCATCTCATCTTCACTGTCTGTGTATTCTTCATACTCAGATTCTGATTCTGACTCTTCCCCAGAACGTCCCTCATCTTCCACCTCCATGACTTCCATCTCTTCATTTTTTCTCTCCTGTGCTCGCTGACGCATCATGCCACGGCGCCGCTCTATTTCCTATCAAGTCACATGTCCAAGTCAGTCAGCCCAATGACCTGTGCTCTAAGGAAGCTTTTTATTTCCCCTCATCACATTTAACAAATTCTGATATGAGTAAATACAACTTACATCATTTTTTTTCAATTCTATCTCCAACAAATAGGGAACCCTGGATCAGAGTTCTGCCAAAAGCAGCAAGCTTGTTGCCTTTGGGACCTCAACAAAGGAGAACAGGCCCCAACTTTTTCTTGGGCCTAGAAAGAACTTCCCATTTTCCTTTTTTATACCTCATCATCAATTTCTTCCTCTTCTTCTTCACTGCTATCTTCTCGTTCCATGCGCCACGCATCTCCTTCCACTTCTGAGTCACTTTCTCCTACCACTTCAGGTTCCACTATTTTCCGATGTCGAGCCAATCTGAAAAACAGCATCTTCAAGTTTAACACCAATATCACAAAAATGAAAGAGCATCAGCCACATTTCCTTAGTTGTAGAGCACCTGGAGGTTATGTTTGCTTTTATTAATACTGAAGTCTTGAGAGGGAGAAACTGAGGTGCAGACAAAAGAAAATAATTCAAAGTGTCAGGGCAAATAGTCAAGTTGGACCTAAAACGTTAAATGTAAGCTGAGGCATCATGAGGCACTGCAATAAACATGGGTGCACAGTGACATTGTATCTTTGTGAAATTGGATTTTTGGTGGCTGTATAAAAAGCAAGTACTGCATGCAGATCAATATGGAACAGGAAATGAGTGACAGTGCCAATCTGATTCTAAGGTTTGAGAAGTAGTCAGTGTCCAAGAGGCACACAAATCCCACTAATAAGTAATTATGGTTATGTAAGAATGAAATAAAAATGTTTTTTCTTTTATGCATATTATATTTTTCAGATGGCTTTAAATGTTAAGACATGACTATTTATTGAATTATTTGGATCTAACTACTTAATAAACAGAACTGTATAGGCCTAGGGGCTCCCTGAGAAAATTCCTGGGACAATATGAACTGTTAAAGTTTGGGATCTCTGGTCTACTTTGTAAGGTAATGTCTCAGTCAACACACAACATACGAAATCCTTCATTGGGAGGCTCCCTTTCCTACCTGAGACCATTCATTCATCAGGCCTTTTTTCCTACTTCATTGGTGTCATTTCCCCTCATTAGCCTTTAGGATAAGTGAGTGAATTAAATCAATTTCTCAAATTTTAAGACCCCCCCCCACCCCCCAACAAACCAACCAATGGTTTGTGTTTTCTTTTCCCTTAGTGAGTTAGTTAGGGTCTTTGGACCAGAGGTAACCTGCTGTTTACTGGCCGCCACTTGCTGGTTGTATACCTTTGGTCATGTTATTTTCCTGATCCCTTGGTGCCTCAGTTTCCTCATTTGTAAACTGGGATAATAATACATACCTCATAAGGTTATTGGGTGGATTACAAGAATTAGTAAATACTTGGAACAGAGACTGGCACATAGTGAGTACTGTGCAAATATTAGCTGTTATTGTTGTTATTAACTAACCTGTGGGGGTTTAGGTCCAGGGAAACATAACCCTAGTCATTACCTCTCTTCCACATCTTCACTAATACGGTTCTGCAAACGCCGCAGTCGAGGGTCACTGGATGAATCCTCCTCCTGTTCCTCAGGCTCTGCTTCTTGTTCTTTGGCTTTCTTGATGAACTGAAATTCTTCATCCTCCTCATCTGAGGACTCCATAGGGGCATAGTCTGGCCTCTTTCCCGACACATAACGTTTTACCTTCACTTTCTCCATCGAAATCTCACCTGGGTGATAAAGATAACTTATTATGTTTCAGTAGCCTCTTTCCCAATGTCTTTCAACCTCTGCCTTTGCAGGTAGAGCCCTATATTCCTGGTAAGCAAGAGTTCAAGCAGGAGAAGAAGAGAGCTGCTATCCAACCATCTATTCATCTAATGGTGTTTTCCTGCCAAGACCAAGTCATGGGAAAACATTCTTGTGACTACCAACACTAATGATAAAGAAGGTGAGCTTGAATACAATGAAGTGGAAAAAGACAGGCGGTGAAATAATAGAAAAAATTCCCCCCAGACAGGCAGACGATTACATCCATCACAAATTCATGCTATTCCACCTCAATTATATCCTTAAGGGAATTATTTGTAACAGTGTCCAGCACATAAGGGTGACTTAAGTGGGAACAGAAAATTAAAATGTTGCTCAATCCCTTTTTTAGTTCACCTGGAATTTTTCATGGCAGCCTTTATATCACCATATAACTCAAGATTCTAATCTTACCTATTTCTACCTTTTCTTTTAGCATATGTGCTATCAAACCTGCAAGATAACGTCTCTCTCTTTTTTTAAAGATTTTATTTATTTATTTGACAGAGAGCACTAGAGAGAGCAAGAACAAGTTGGGGGGCAGAGGGAGAGGGAGAAGCAGGCTCCCCACTGAGCAGGGAGCCCGACATGGGGCTCCCTCCCAGGACCCTGGGATCATGACCTGAGCCAAAGGCAGATGCTTAGCCAACTGAGCCACCCAGGTGCCCCTCTTTTTTTAAAGATTTTATTTATTTGAGAGAGAGAGCAAGTGAGAGAGAGAGAGAGAGAGGGGCAGAGGCAGAGGGAGAAGTAGGCTCCCTGGTGAGGACCCTGGGATCATGACCTGAGCTGAAGGCAGATGCTTAACTGCTTAACCGACTGAGCCACACAGGTGCCCCAAGATAACATCTCTTTTACAAAAAGTGACAATTCCTGCGAATAAAGTGAAAACTGACCAAAACATTTTGTAAGATGGATATAATTTTGATAACCAAACTGGACAGTTCAAAGGAAAACTTTACGTGAATTTTTCTTCATAAACATACATTAAAAAGTACTAAATAATATAATAGCAAATTTATTCCAGCAATGTAAAAGCTAACAAAAAAATTCTAAGCCATCATGACTTCAAAGGATTTAGCTTGGGACCACAAGAACAGCTTAAGCTTAGAAAATTAATGGGGTCAAACGTAATATACTATTTAAAGTTTATATATATATATATATATTTTTAAATATTTTATTTATTTATTTGA